CCATGAGTCGCATGAAGAGCCGGGTGTCCAAGGCTTTACATCAGCACTCGGGCCATGAACAACACGTTTGGCCAGGTGTCAGCATTCATTCGCCGTCCGAGTTGCGCAGCGCCGACAAGGACGCCCATTGACCCGGATGGGGTGATAAGCTGCGAACTTTCTGCAAATTAGTTTCCCGACAAGCAGTTTTGGATGCATGTAGCCGCAAATAGTGCATGGAAACACAGAGCAAATGATTTCGTCAACGAGTTTGTCCAAGTTGCACAGTGACGAATTTGCTTGAGTGCGTGTTCTTTATCCCACATGTCCCTATAGAACCGTAGTCTTCATCAGCGGACTCGAACGGGCGAAAGCGAAATGTCGTGATGCTTGAGCCCAGTCACGAATAATATGCGTGCCTGCGGCATCCATGCGCCGCATGTGTGGGGAGTGTCGCCGGGCTTCAACGGAAGCACGGGGGCTGCCTGGAGACGTCGCTGCATGTGCCCGGCTGTAGATCGGCATGCTGTTGCTGCGCGTCATGCTGAAGTCGCGGCTGTGCCGTCGCTTCGTCGCTTTGTTGAATGTCATCCAGGCTGAATATTGGTCCAATGTTCATAGCTCATGTGTGTCCGCATTCATAGTTCGTGAGTGGACATTGGCTCGGTGCGGCCATCATAAATGGAGAGTAGATCGTATAGCTATGTGGCGGGGGCATTAGGAGGCACCACGTTGCTGTAATATATTTCTTTGCTCGGAGCCCTCTGGCTTACAAGATTTCAACAATCTCTCTCTCTCTCTCTCTCCCCTCTTTTTCCTTTGCTTGCAAAACCGCAGCAGCCAAACGTCCGGTGATAGTCTCCTCCACCCAACCATGAACATCTTGAAATAGACCGCAGTACCTATTTACCCCACCCCCTCACCCCCCCACTCCCCCCCCTTCGCGAGGGGCCCCCCATTACTGGTGTGTCTGATCACCCGTGAGTACTTGCACCATTTCTCCACATGGGAGCCCGTTGGAAATGCTAAGATGGTAAACACATGTGGGCCAAACACACTGCCAGCATTCTTCCGAACTACATCGAAGGCTTTCCAGCATCCATAAACCCTGAACATGTTCGTCTGCGGCGCCGCAAGCGGAGAATTTTTTGTAGTTTTTATCCACGAGGCTAGGGCACGGGTCGCCCGTGACATGCGGCTTGCCAACATGAATCTCCCAGTCCCCGTAGCTGATGCGCAGCGGATCGAGATCGTTTGCACTGGCCTGCCTCGTTTGCAATGGTTTGCCGCGTGGGCACGGGGCCCAGCTTGCTGTCGAT